CAGATCACGGCTCTGCCCTGGCTCTGGATCATGCTGCCAACATCCCAGCCCTGGAGCAGCTCCCCAACCAGCCACATGCCCTGCCAGTGGTGCTTGGGCTGGTCTCCATGGAAACCCTGGCCCTGCACTGTCACGGCTCTGCCCCTTCTGGGGTCTCCATGGAAACCAGCTACAGTGACATGGGCCAGGGCTGCTGGGAAGTGGAGTCAGCTGCAAGCCAAATCTGGCCCACAAGCCAAACTTTGCTCATTCCTAGTGTATAGCCTCTTCATCCAGCCATAAGACTTGTAAAATACAGGATTTGTAAAATGGAAGTCAGTGCATCTCCCTGTGCACTGTTATGAGACCCTTATTAGAATGAAGGCATTAAGGCTAAGTACAGATGGTCCAAAATCCCGAGGCTGAGTCAATTCAATCTTTGCAATTTAGTCTAAGCTGCAAAGATTAAACTGAGAAACAATTGGATACACATTCACTTTTGATTCAGGAAATGCAGCCACATGCCTGCAGTGGCTCAGGCCAGAAGCCAGGAGGTGCTCGAGCATGGCTGTCTGGCACTTCTTGCTGCCCCCCAGGTCTCGGATTTGCAGTCCAGCATTACAGAAGCAGGACTCTGCAGGGTTGTTCATCACTACTTCCTGCTTCCAGGTGCCTCTGGGATTTGTAGTCCACAGTTCCAGCCAGCAGTGACTTTCAGTAAGTTTAGCAGGGCAACTCTGTACACAGGGAAGGAGGGTTTAACCCCTGGCCCTAGACTCCAGCCAGGGTTTGCCTGGGAGGGGGGCAGGGCTGTCATTTCCCTTCCCCTTCACCACACCCCACCTCCTTCTCTGCTGGAGCAGACAGCACAGCCCAGCCTAGCCCAGGGCCAGAAAGCATGCTGGGGGACTGTGATTTAACTTGAACTAGGAAGGGATCGGAACTGAAGTATCATAACCTGGTTTCACCCCAATCAGTTAAGTCTGATACTACATTCAACCAGGTTTATCTTAAACCAGTTTCAGCCATTTTGAAACTGGTTTATATGCACTGAACTTCTGTTGTGTTACAGGTTTAAACCAGTTTCTGATCACTTAAGCCAGTTTGTGTGTAACTTCAGTCCCTAGCTTAAGAGTCTTCAAGTCTCAAGCAGAATTAAAATTATATTCCATGTATTTTGATTTACTCTTTGAACCTACATGTTACGTCTTCTACTTCAATAGTGGTGTGATAGTATTGAGCGATTTTTTTAGTCTTTTCAATTTTGGTTCTTCCTCCTCATGATGGTGACACTCATGCGCATAAGAACATTTCTACAGAGAATCCCACCAGTGAGTAAGGGTCAAGACTTAGTATTTTTCCTTTGGCATGCAGAGTTTGTGTACAGTCTCACTGTACATTATCTAGGCTGTTAATAAAGGCAATAGTTTGCCACAGATTTAATACAATATATTACACTAGATGTTAACATTTAAAACCCAAGTTGTGCCCACAGGGCAAAAAGATGATGTGATTGGGAACCTTAACTCACGCTCGTTAGCAAATGGCTTGTATTCCGGGTGCTAGCATGTGTTGAAGCCCACTCTGCTATGTCTTCTCTGCTCATTATCCATGTTAGCTGAATTTTGTTAGCTAGTACATGCTACAATCTGCGTTTCATTTTGCTGTAGACCTATACTCTTAAAATAGTAGTTCTCAACAATTTCAAACTCAAGATAACCCCTCAGAAATCCCACTTTGTTTTCACTTGATTTTTTGACTGCAGAAAAATAAGAGACCAATTCATCTGTTGCAATGAACTCAGAAAGACCATACCGGGGCAGAGCGTTTTTAACACTCTGGATTCCTATTTGAAATCTTTGGGTTTATCTTGTAAATCGTATTTGTGCACCTAACAGTGCTGTTGTTGCATGGAACCCTGTGTCACCCTTGAAAGGGTCTCAAGGCAGCCCAGGGTGCTGCTGTACCCTGGCTGATATTCACTATCCTAAAACATCATTGTAACTCTATTTGAATTGCTACATACTGGGCATGTCTACATGTGCACGTTTACTGCTCAGTAACTTAAATTACTGTGTAATACAGGTGCATGTCTACACGTGCACACCTGTACTGCATAGTAAATATGGTGATTGACACTGACTTGGGCGTAAATTTGATACTTGCATCAAGTGGGTACCAAATTTATGCCCAGTTAGTTACTGTATGCCTTACTGTACTCTACTATATGCCTTACTGCACAGTAACACTGCGTGTGGACTGACTTTGGACTAACTTTAGTTCCAAGCCAGTCCACACACAGCATTAATGCACTTTAATGCCTGCATGTGTAGATGCTGGCCTATTCCCACTTACTGCACAGTAATTTACTGCGCAGTAAATTTAAGATGGCATAAATGCATGTGTCGACAAGCCCTCTATCTTTGGCAAAACATGGCCTTGTCCAGGAGGGTTAGAAAAACAGCATGCTGCGCTGTAGTGATTGACAGTGCTAACATTTGAATTCAGTCTTTTCAGTGGGTATTCAAAACAGGATTTTCCAGTTTACCCACAAATTATGTGCAATCCAGTGGCTTGTTCCTCAATCTAAGCTTTGAAAACAAACATAGTAAAGCAGGAAGGAAAAAGTCCATGTACAGCTGACTTCTTGAAGAGCAAGAATCAGTGCAGATACTGTACAGAACTGCTCCTAGCCATAATCCTGTCCCTCACTTTCTCCTTCAAGAAAGAATTTTTACCTGAACTCTTAACCTACCTCACTAGTTGCAAACCTATGAACAGTTGGTTGTCCCTCATCTAGTAAATGTGGACTGAGATGATGTCAGCCCAGATGGCTTGTGTACTGCAGTCTTGTCCAGTTTGCTGTTGGATGTCATTTTATGCTACTAATGTAGTAGACATTTCTCTGTTGCTGTGACTTAGCATAACAGCTGTTATTGGATGTGAACTGAATGTGCTCCATAGCTTGAAACTCAGCAGCTGGCCCATGCCATTGTGTCTGCAACCCACCCCCATCAAAAAAAAAAGTTTCAGCCCCAAACTGCAAGGAAGAGATTAGTTCTTTTGCTGTGCCTGTTTGCCTCAGCTTTCCTGGTGGCATTGGCCTGATTATAGCTGTTCAGTGGAAACAGGGCTAAGATGACTGCAGTCATTTCACAGAAGCTGCTCAGCAGCCTGGAGCTGATCGCTGATTTGTCTTTTGTCAGTATTGCTTTAGCTTATATATATCCTTTGAGGGTTTTGTGCATCTGCTTCTATATCACGTTGAATTCTGACTTTTTTGAAGCAGATTCACACCAGAATGAAGACTTGTGGAACAAGCAAGCCTCTACTATACAGTAAAAGTACACAGCGTGTCTGGTTCCTGGGAGGGTCACAGCAGATGGGATTGTCTACATAGGACAAAACTACCCTTCTTTTAAACTATCTCAGCAAGGGTTAAATAGCTGATAAATCATTTAAGCTGGAGTTCTTTAGGGCACACCTACCAGGGAAGAAGAGGTGGAATCTGACTGGGTAAGTGCTGGTCTTGACCTGAAGGATAACTTAGAAAGAAGAGCTCTCCCATGGCTTTGCAACAGCAGCCTGGAAAGTCGGAGAGGTGGGATGAATTGTGCAGCATGTTCCTGCTTGTGCATATTTTAATAGTTGAAAGAAATTTCTGACAAGGGAAAATACATTTTGTTTATTCAGTGAGCAGCTTTCACAGCTGCCTTACTGCGGTAACCTGTAAATAATGCTTTGAGTCCTCTCCACGCCCCATCAACTTTCAGATGCTGTATTTAGTTATGAGCATGCAAGTCACATTTGGTCATTTCAAGGGGACTTTGCCACTTGTAGGATTGCATAGGGGTCTAGCCTTCACAATTTGTGTGGGGACCAGCTCATACCTTACTGTCTCAATCCTTTCTCCTGCCGTGTAGCATAGGGAACATCAAGGGAAAACCATGTGTGTTCCAGCCCTGCTCTCCATCCTTATCCTATTTTTGAAGAGGATTGCTGGTGGCCCAAACTGTCTTCTGAAATGGCGGTGCAGCTGCTTGCCACCTAACACCATCCTCTTCCCCCTCCCAAACTTCTGTGTAAGGATGCCTTAGGAGTAGGATGCTCTTAATGCAGGCCCGGACACAGGCATGGGTGAACTGGGCAGCCACCCAGGGCCCAGACAGAAAGGGGGCCGGAAAATATGAAAAAAAAAAAAATATTGTGCATGTACAGGACTGGGAATGTTACCAACTGAGGACAAACTATTTAAAGACATTGATACCACAGATGCGATAAAGACTTTTGCAACAAAAAAATCATTATCTCTGGCAAAGGGGGCGGGGGCAGATACTAAAAGTTCACCCAGGGCTACCAGGAGTCTAGGTATGGCACTGTGTTTATGTAATCGCTTCTCCTATTCCCTATTTTTCTAAATAGCATTTTGTGAAAAATGCTAGACCAATTCCCCCACCCATGCCTTAAGCTGAATGTTGAAGAGCTTGGATCCCATTAAAACAACATTAGTGCTTTAGATAGATGTTTTGTGATTCTCTTGCTTATATGAAGAATAAAGACTGTGAGCAAGAGTTAACTTCTGGCACAGCATTCGTACCTATGTTCCTGAATTTCAGACTTCATTCCTCTGCTTTGTCCAAATTGGTTAACTTCTGCTGGCAGCCAGGGCATACTGTAAAACTCATCTAAACCCTGTTCTGCTAAACAGGAAAGGAGTGGACAGCTTAATTGTTATATCATTATTGTTTGGCTTGTGTTTTATGGCATTGTTTAAAAGCACTGACAAGTTCTAATAAGCTGTCTTTATTTTGTAACACAAATGAAATAAAGAAATTGGTCTTTCTGGAATTTGGCTGAGGAGTACCAATGAAATGGCAGAATCCATCCAGCGGGGGGGGGAGGGGAATATGTAGAAAGTGAAACTGAAATGAAAGAGGAAGGCAAACACCCGTCTGCAGAGAGAGAAAAAAAAATGCATTTAAAAGACTTTACTTTCAAATCAAGACAGGCCGACACAGGGATCTTGGGTCTATGGGACAAAGTGAGGCTGTTGGGCACTATGAATCTGCTCCGGACAATCTGAAAGGCACCACGTTTTGGAGAAATCTCACAGGTATGACTGCAACTATTTCTGTGTAGTTTGTGCAGAAACAAGTTTAGAATCAAACTGAATAGGAGCTATTTATGAGATCTTAAGAATATGCTATCCTTTCACAAGCTTAAGGGACTTACAACTTTAGAAGACACAGCTTGATCATTTCCAGTTCTGGTTAGAATCTGCCTTCAACCCAGAATAGAAAATGGAGAACAGTTTCTGGCCTCTACATATTGAGCTGACAGGGACAGGGGGATTCCCAAGCTGTAGCGTGACTTATGCTGCCAAATGTGCAGCTATTTCCTTTGCTCTTATTTTCCCCAGAATTTAACAGTATCAGTATGTTTCTTGGCTAAGAAAAGGTAAAACTCAGTGAAGAGCTAGACTTAGTAAAGTTAAGCCACACGCCCAAACCTCTGCAAAACGAGGGAGGGGTGGGATATTCAGATCTGGAGTTTGATTCTGTCCAGGATAGAAACTAAGGTCTAACATGGCGTTCAGATATGGATCTGAATCTCTCAAGAGTTTCACAGTATTTGGATCTGGGATTTTGTTTTGGACTCATCTACAGCCTGTGAGTCACAGATATATATTTGAATGATATAAGTCAGGGCTGTCCAACTTGTAAGTGGAGGACACATACCACATGGGCTGGGGGCTGTCATATGCCCCCTACTTCACCTTCTGCACCCCACCACCCTTCAGCTTCCTGACTACACTGCTCCTGGGTTCCCCTGATGCCATGGGCTCCACCATACCACTCAACCCCTGCCCCCAGGACCAGAGCAGGAAGCAAAAGGTAAGGCTGAGATGAGGAGCCTGAAGCCTCCAGCTGCAGTAGCAGCCAGAGCAGTAGTAGGAGCAGTGACTGAGCCCTGCTTTGGAGAGCTACATATTGCTGAGCGGTGGCTCTCATAGAGTGCAGTCATCCTGCATGCTTCACAGAACTGTGCTGATCTGTAGGCCTGTGCAAAGCGGCTAGTATTTGCTTCAGATTCAGCTGATTTTGGGGGACAGTGATTCAATTCAGTGATTCAAATCACTGTCCCAAATCGGTTTGGCTGACTCTGATTTGGAGATTTGGCCACTGCCGAATCTCCGAATCACACAGGCCCCATTCCCCGCCCGCTCTCCCAGTCCTGGAAATGGCCGCCCTGCCTGTCCTAGCTCCTGGCTCTCTGGGAAAAAAAACTCCTGACTCACTGGCTGCTGCCCGGCGGGGGGCAATCCCCACTACCCCACACTGTGTGGGGGGCTCTGCACGAGCCCCCTGACCCCTCCCCCTGCTGTCCTAGCCCCCCTCCCTCCATGGCTGCCCCGCCCACACCAACTCTGGCCCTTTAAGAAATAAAACAACACTGAATTGGGCCAAATCTAATCAACACCTGAAGCTTCGCACAGCCCAAATGATTTGGCTTCTCTGCGGCAACCCACAGCCACAGCCTTCCTATTCCTGGTCACATTTGCTCTAGGGAGGAAATGAAAAAAACATGATGAACAAATTAATGGACAAAATAAATTAATTCCTTATAAGTTAGCATTGCCTCATCAAAGTGGCCTGGTGCTAGACCCGGTCCTGCATTTGAAAAAGTTGGGAAGGTACTTCTGAGTTGGTGCCGAGGTAGGCTGGATGAATCATCTGAAACCAAAAGGCACCTCTTGAGTTGTCTATTCTATGTCCCCATCACATAAAGGAATTAATTTAATGATAATCAATAAATCTGAACTCATTGGAGAAAGATCCTGAATGTGATTTCTTTAACATCCAAAATCATTAAAAGATGAGTATTTAGGTTCCAAACTCAAACACCTGAAAGTTAGAGAAAGTGATGTTCATGGTTGATTGTACAAGCTTAATTCTGCTCCCTTGTGGATCCATCCTATGCATTTAATGACTTTGGGGTCCTCTGGGAACAATAGGATGTGATCATGTAACAAAAGACTGCATCACAATGCATATACACCAAGGGCCTGGATTCATCTAACAGAACCTTAATACTGCCATTTCCTTACTTAGTGCTTGACTTCATAGTGGTAATAATTTTTATTGTAGTTTTGGTACTTGATTTCCTAGGAATCTTTATAGAGGACAAATGTAAGAACCAATTTCCTTACACATCTGTAACTGTTCACTTTCATGCATGGCATTCAAACCATGTCTTTTTAAGTACTGTAGCACACATACCACTTAGGTTACAGGGCCATCTAGGAGCTGGGAGCAGGAAATGGCTCTGAAGGCAGAGAGGGAGGGAAAGTGCTGTTGGCATCATATGCTAGGGCCAGAGACTGGTTCTGTGGACCTCAGCTTGAGTGCCTTTCTTCCTCACTCCTGGTGCCAGGGAACATCTGCCCTCCTGGTGCCTGTGGGGTGAGGAAGGGAGCACTGCTTAGGATATGGGCTGAACTGGGGAGGTGGCAATTGCATCTTGAACTTTCCTGTCCTGGATTTGCCGAGGATTTGTCATGGAGTGTCTGTTGCCAGTACAAGTCTTTACCAAGGCGCCTCGGGACTGATACAGCCACTTGTCTGATTTGGTATCAGGCAGTCTTTATTATTAACCCCCAGACAGACTTACAGATTTTTTCTCCGTAACACAACTAGGGTGACCACCTTTTTAAAATGTAAAGTCAGGACACATGCCTGCCTCCTCTGTCCGCCTCCTCCACTGGCAGCATGGCCAGAGCAGAGCCGAGTGGAGCACAGGCAGATGCAGCATGCTCACTGTGGGCTCGGGGCTCCCTGCCCTGCCACCCTTCCCATTCATGAATGTATCGACGGTATAAACTGTTGATAATAATTAATGAGTCCCAAGAAGGAGCGTAGCTGTTTGTGGGTACGAGGTTCCTGAAATCATCTTATGGCTTCAATCTTGTCGGTGGGGGGGCGTATTGTTCCCCTGCCTACCTGAAACCCTAGGTATGCCGTTTCTCATCCTGCTAACTTGCATTTCTTGGGATTGGCAATCAGACCCGCTGCTTGGAGTTCTCCCAGGATGGCTTTCAGGGCTTCAAGGCACTGGTGCCAACTGGGAGTAAATATAATGATATCGTCGATATATGCTGCAACATACGACACGTGCAATGCAAGCAAGGTGTCCATCAGCCTCTGGAAGGTGGCCACCGCACCGTTTAGGCCAAAGGCCATCCGTATAAACTCGAATAAACCCCAAGGGGTTTCAAAAGTGGTCTTGGCGCTTTCTGCAGGGCACACTGGGATTTGCCAGTACCCTTTGGCCAGGTCAAGAGTAGATATGTACCGTGCTTCACCAATCCTCTCGATGAGGTGGGTAATGTGTGGCATAGGGAAGGTGTTGAAGGTCGTCAAGGCATTTAGCTTCCTAAAGTCTATACACAGACGCAGTGACCCATGGGGTTTGGCCACTGGCACAATGGGGCTACGCCAAGGGCTCCAGGATGGTCGTATAATTCCCCGTCTCTGCATCTTTATCTCCTGTCGTATTTCCTGCTGCCAACGCTGGGGTATCGGCCTCCACCTTTCCCTAACCAGCACACCAGGGGGAGTTCTGATCTCATGTTCAATTCCTGTCACTCATCCCGGGGTTTCTCAGAACACTGCCCAGAAATCCTCTATTAAGTCTAACAGCTCCTGTTGTTGCTGGCTATCCAACTCTTTGCCCATTTGCACTGACTCTTGTCCTGTGGATTCACTTAACCCAGGGCAGGGCGGTCCCAGGTCTTCCCCCGCCTCCTCTTCTTGTGCCATCCAGCCCTGGGTGGTTTTCCACTCCTTAAGAAGGTTCACATGATAAATTTGGTGTTCCCGGTGGTGGCCTGGCTTAAGCAATTCATAATCTACCGGACCCACTTGTCGAACTAGTCTAAACGGGCCTTGCCACATTGCGAGATGCTTGCTTGAGGACGCCGGAAGTGACACCAAAACCATATCTCCAGGCTGGAAGGTCCGGGTTCTTGTCTTCTTATTAGAGTGGGTTTCTTATTCCTCTTGGGTGGCCCTCAAATTTTGGCCAGCGATCCATTGGGCCTGGGTGATCCGGTCCTGCAATTCTTGGTGGTATCTTTCCACAGATATTCCTAACCCTACCGGCCGTTCCCATTCTTCCCTGATGACCTGTAACAGCCCCCTGGGGTTGTGGCCGTATACTTACCGGAACAGGGAATACTGCATCGACTCTTGGGGGGCATCCTTCAAGGCAAACAACAATGGTGTTAAGATGGTATCCCACCTCCGGGGGTCTTCCTGCGAGCACCACCTGAGCAACCACTTGATCGTCCCATTTAATCTCTCCACTAGACCATTTGTCTGGGGATGGTACACTGATATCTTCAACTGCGTGATGCTGAAAGTTTTACATAGGGCTTTCATCACACCAGACATGAAATTCGTCCCCTGGTCAGTGAGTATTTCATGTGGTATGCCAACCCACGCTATCCATTTAAGTAATTCTTCTGCTACTCGCATTGCTGTGATAGACCTAAGTGGGACAGCCACCAGGAACCAGGTGGCATAATCCACTAAATCCAATATATATTGATAACCGTTATGCGACTTCGGGATAGGGCCCACTATGTCCAGTGCAATTCGGGAGAACGGTGTCTCTATTATAGGCATAGGGTGCAACAGTGCCCTAAGTGGTCTCCACTCCTGGGCCCTTTGGCACTCCGGGCAAGCAGCCCCCCAACTTTCCATGTCCTTTTGCAGACGTAGCCAAAAGAATTCTTGGACCAGCCTAGCCTGGGTCTTGATGCGTCCCAAATGGCCTCCCACTGGGGAGTCATGAGCCAATCTCCACACAGAGTGGCGGAGTGAGGACGGGACCACTAACTGTCTACCTTTCAAGGCACCCTCCTTGCCCCGTTGGACCCGATATAATAACCCCCCTATTATCTCAAAGTCAGAATGACTTTGTGACATTTCTTCCCCGGGGTCTTCAGTCAGTAGCTGCTGGAGTTCCGGGTCTTCTTGTTGGGCCTGATGGAACTGCGCTGCACTAACCACCTGCTCCAGGTTAATACTGCCTGATGCCACTTCCCTCTGG